TCCGCTGCGATGCGCCGGCAAGAACCGTTTCGGGGGCCGATCGGTTCTGGAGGACCTGGGATACCAGCCCGCAGCATTAATTTCAAAAAACCTCTTGTGGTAGTTCGATGCCCCCAATTATACGTAAGATGTTGTAATATCTTGTTTGCTTCAGACGAACGCTATGGAGGAACGTGCGATGGTGGAAGGAGGAACGGGACAACCATGACCATTCAAAAGTGGGTAACTTTGGACAGGCGTCGTATCGGACGCTGGGCAGGAACGAACAACGGCGGAAGACGGCGGAAGAAACAACGGGAGGTTGAAGCAATAGAAAGGCAACCGCGAACGCCCGAATACCAGATGGCTTTTTTCCCAACCCTCCTGCGTTGGGTTCTCGTTTTGAATAGAGCACTGCTCGCGCGAACCTTCCTTCCTTTCTTCCTTCCCGTCCCTCTCTTCCCCCCTGCCTTTGACCTCGCTCGTCGCTGCGTGCCAGCTGGGGGGCTGCGATATGTGAAACTGTCGCCACTTTCGAGGCCTGCTGGGGGGCCCAGCACAGTGTGCACCCGCGGCGGATTCAATGGGACCTCGCCATCCCTGGGGGGCTGCGATCTGTGAAACTGTCGCCACTTTCGAGGCCTGCTGGGGGGCCCAGCACAGTGTGCACCCGCGGCGGATTCAAATGGGACCTCGCCATCCCTGGGGGGCTGCGATCTGTGAAACTGTCGCCACTTTCGAGGCCTGCTGGGGGGCCCAGCACAGTGTGCACCCGCGGCGGATTCAAATGGGACCTCGCCATCCCTGGGGGGCTGCGATCTGTGGAACTGTCGCCACTTCGAGGCCTGCTGGGGGGCCCAGCACATTGTGCACCCGCGGCGGATTCACGGATTCAAATGGGACCTCGCCATCCCTGGGGGGCTTTGATCTGTGAAACCGTCGCCATTTCGAGGCCTGCTGGGGGGGCCAGCACAGTGTGCACCCGCGGCGGATTCACATGGGACCTCGCCATCCCTGGGGGGCTGCGATCTGTGAAACTGTCGCCACTTTCGAGGCCTGCTGGGGGGGCCAGCACAGTGGGTACCCACGGCGGATTCAAATGGGACCTCGCCATCCCTGGGGGGTTGCGATCTGTGGAACTGTCGCCACTTTCGAGGCCTGCTGGGGGGCCCAGCATAGTGGGTACCCACGGCGGATTCAAATGGGACCTCGCCATCCCTGGGGGGCTGCGATCTGTGAAACTGTCGCCACTTTCCTACCTCGCTCGTCGCTGCGTTTCGAGGGCAGCTGGGGGCTGCGATCTGTGAAACTGTCGCCACTTTCGAGGGCTGCTGAGCTTGTCCCAAGTAGCTTACCTATCAAACAACGGATCCTGCAATGTGATTGTCCGTGCAAGTTTCGGCCAACTCCTCGTTTGCCATGATACAAATGGGTTGGGTACGTCACAGGGTAATTTGTTTGAGTTCCGTGTGCATATATATATTTGCGTGTGTATGTGTACATGCTTCTTCCGTATTGCAGATTTATGGTTTGCATGTTGTTGTTGTGCCATTAGTTCGTGCAATATCGCATCTTTGCTGGAACATATGTACTTTAGCTCGCAAACCGATTGTCTTGAGTTCGTGGGCTCTGTCTCTTCATGTATACATATATAAGTGTATTTCTAGTTCGTTTGCGCGAGGGTTTAGGGGTTACTTGTATAGGTCGGTGGACCTGAGAATTTTCTTACGTGTGCATGTAAAGATTCCCCCAATAATTCTTTGAGGGGTGATTGATCTTCGCATTAAGAGTTAGCAGGCCAAGATCGGCCAGAGTCCGTTCGACAGCTGCTGGACAGGCACCGTCACACCGGGATCTTACTCGTTATCAATGAGTGTACCGTAAGCCTTTGCACAGCTCTTGGGTTTCTTTGCTCAAATAAGTGAAACATGACACATGTCTGTATGTACTTATGTGTACATATACGTATATGTATGTTTGTGAGCATGTGTGTATATGTCTCTATATATGTATATATACACATACAGGTGTAAAACAACTTCTCGATTGTTCGGATTGTTTGGATTGGGACCATACTTGCTGTGGTATTTTGTTTTCGATGGCATAAGTATGTTTTTGTGGATTGCTCCTTTTTTGCATTTTTCCTTCAGGGGGTTCAAGAAATGCATCGTCCGCGAATTTGTATCGAACGTCCGACGACAGAAGAAGTTGCGGAATTAAAATGAACGGCTTTGGAACTTATTGTATTTTACCACCCCATCTTCTTCATAACGTTTGTTTGCGATCGTATACAAACATAAAAGACGATTGTTAGTGATATTTTCAAACCGATTATTTGGTGCGTGATTTTCAACGTAGACTTTTTACACGTTGCGTGGTGGTAGCATTTATTGTTCGCACGTTTGATTATATATACACATATATGTCTACAACAAGCGTAGTGGACTATATCGGTGTAGTATTTCTTGACACATTGCTATTCTCACTACTATGTGAAGCGAGGCCACTGGACCACAGGTTTGGTGGAGGGTCGGGAATCAAATTGGGTCGGCCGTATCACTTTCTAGATATTTTCTTGCCGCCGCAACGATGGGGAATCGGGCGCGACGTCTTCCCGCAAGCAGTCTTTCGACCCTCCCGTCGAAATTCGTAGTCCCAAAATTGGGCGGGCAGTCAGACGAAGAAACCATAACGCCACAATTCAGAAACCTTCACAAATATTTGATCAGAGCATTGTTCACGTTGGGGAAGCGCCAGTGGTTTGTAATTGCTTAAATTTTCAGCGAGAGCAGTAGTCGAGTTCTGACTCGCGTGTTTCTCTTGTGGTACAGAGCTCGAGCCCCAAAGAAAATAACACATGCAATTCGCGTCGTTGTGTCTTTTCGTCGTCTGACTCGTGGGGCTTTCAACGAGATCAGCAGTGCCATTGTTATGTAATGCTGTGGCGCGATACACACCACGATGTGTTGTGTCGTGTGTTTTCCTATGCTTTGCGGATGCCGGGCTTGAGGAGTGAAAGACAGTAGGATTGGCGTTGACGTGAATTTGATGGACGGGCCCAGCCGCTTGAAGAAACATCAAGAAGCCTCCGCGTGCAAGGGTTCACCTCAGCTCATGGGTCGCCGTGAGATTCCAAATGCACCTTTCAGCGAAGGCGGCCAGATAACTTCCAAGAGAGCCTCGGACACTTTCAATACGTTAGGATAGATCAGAAAAACAGTCTAGGGACCTTCCCATTCAGAGCCTAAACTTTCGATTAACCTGTGAGAACGCACAAGAGCCTACACTCTCGATTAACATGTAAGAATTCACAATACATCGCTCTGTGTCCTGGTATTTGCGTTTTTTCCCTTTACCCTTGTTTCGCGCCGCCGCTCACACGGGTAGCAAGCTCCTTCGGCTCGAATCGTGACGCCACCAGCCTCTCTTCCCTTCCACTTTGGTGCAGTTCATACCATCGTGAAACGGCCACCAAAGAGGATGGCACCGAGAAGTTGGCGATACAGTTTTGATACTTTTGTGGCAATGCCCTTTCAGCATGATTTGTTCGGCCTTTTTTATTTCGTCGTTTGACAATCGATGCTTCGTTGTTCGTGCAGTTTTCGCGCACATCAAAAAGTGGCACAGCAATTTGAATATTGTCTGGTCGCGTGTTTCTGTTTTAAGGGATGGGGATGTTAAAGTCAAAAGTTGTGATTAGTCGCATTGAAATTGCAATCCTGAGCGACAGTTAGAGACTTAACAGGTGTCCCCTCCAACCTTGCCTTTCTCTTGCACGGCTGTGTTCTAGGGCTGAGGGTCTCATACTCTTCTGCGCGGGTTTGTTCTAGAGCTCGGGCGTGGAAATTCTCGTCTGCTCGATCGGTTCGTTGTCGCCAGCCGATCCCCTGGTCACGCTTGCCTACATCCTCTAGCTCACCCCCCTGGCAGTAGATATTTTCAGCCTGCCCGGCTTTGGGACACGCTTGGCTTCAGGAGACATCCAGGCCCAAGGCGCGGACCGTGCCACACAGCCCTCCTCGCGCCCTGCGCCACGCACCGAGCCGTCGTCGTCGTCGTCGTCGTCGTCGTCGTCGTCGTCGTCGTCGTCGTCGTCGCCGTCGTCGCCGTCGTCGTCGTCGTCGTCGTCGTCGTCGTCGTCGTCGTCGTCGTCGTCGTCGTTTGTGTTGCCCCGTCCTGGCTCCGCTGCGTGCCTGGCCCTGCTCCCACGGCCTGGCCTTGCCCCCCGGCCCGCTTGGCCGCGGCCGTCCCCCTTTTGGTCCTGGGTCTGTCCCTCTGCACCCTGAACGGCAGGCGTATAGAGGAGCGGGGAGGAGGAGGAGGAGGAGGAGGAGGAGGAGGAGGAGGAGGAGCAGGAGGAGGAGGATAAGGAGGAGGAGGAGGAGGAGGAGCAGGAGGAAGAGGAGGGGGAGGGAGGAGGAGGAGGAGGAGGAGGAGGAGGAGGAGGAAGGGGAGCTCGTTCTTTTCCTTTGCTGGCTCGTCGTCGTCGTCGTCGTCGTCGTCGTCGTCGTCGTCGTCGTCGTCGTCGTCGTCGTCGTCGTCGTTGTTCATCCTCCGTCTTTCGTGGCTCAACTGCACGCTGGCCCTGCTCCACGGTTGCGGCCTTTCCCCGGCTCTTTTGGCCGTGGCTCTTCCCCCCTGGTCTTGAATTTGCCCCTTGCCTTCCAAGCACTTCATTTTCGTTCGATCGCTTGTCGTCGTCGTCGTCGTCGTCGTCGTCGTCGTCGTCGTCGTCGTCGTCGTCGTCGTCGGCGTTCGTCCTGGTCTTTATTGGCTCAGCTGCCCTAGTCCTGCTCTACTGACCCGGCCTCACCCCCGCCCCTTTGGACCTGGCCCCCTTCCCTCGGTCTTGAGCCAATTGATCTGCCCCCTGCCCCCCGAACCTTCTTTTGGAGGTGCTCCCCCTCCCACCTCCTCCTCCTCCTCCTCCTCCTCCTCCTGCCCTGGGGACCGGAGCCGAAACCTCCAGAGCGTGCAGCCTTTCGACCACCGCTGCGTGGTCTGTGGCTTCGTCGACTCAGACACCGATAAGTTCTACGAACACCTTCGAACCCATCTACCTCGACCTGTGCTCCGGCCCGCTCGACGACATGGAGGCGCAGACGGGAGCGGCAGGCTCGGCGGACGCGGCGATGGAGGACGTCAACGCTTTCGGGCCCCCCAAGTGGGCGGGGAAGAGAAGTGGAACCGAGGGCGAGGATTCCGCCGCGAAGCAGCACAAAGGCGCGGGCAAGGGCGCGAAGCTCAGGGACGACGACTGGCGCGCCATGGCGCTGTGCACGGCTCGCTTGACCCTAGCCGTCGCGAGGGACACGGCTAGCCTCGCGGCCACGGTGTACGAGACGTGGGAGCTGAACGCAGACGCACCACTCCCGGCCGCAGGCATCCTGGCGGGGCAGGAGTACAACGAGCAGGCCAAGGAGCTTCACGAGCAGCACGAGAAGGACGCGTCGGTGGATCTGGCGCAGCTGGGCCCCCCGCACCTGGTCGTGTCCGCGAAGGTGTTCCAGGAGCTAGCGAAGCATGTCTCCGAGCAGGGGAAGCCGACGCTGGCGCAGTTCTCCGCAACAGTGGTGCAGGCGGAGGCCCCCACTCCCCTGGGCGAAGCCGTGCCGCACCTCAGCGTGAAGAAGAACAAGCAGAAGTCGGCCAAGGGCGTACAGAAGTGCCGCATCGTCGTCGCCATGGCCACCGATCCGCACATCCGCACGATCCGCGACATGCTGGTGGAAGAGATCCAGAAAGAGGGCGGTCAGAAGAAGCTCGGGCCGGCACCGCGTGGAGCTCTCGAGCGGGAACTCAATCGGGTGGTGAGCAGGGCGTGACGGTCCGACCACTTTCGGGACCAGAGGTGTCTGCACGAGTGCCAGCAGTGTTCAGAGATAGCGCACGTTATAGACAGCTAGTCGCCAACGGTAGGCTCCCGAGCGCCCAACAGGCAGCGCCAGTACCAGTCCTTCAGACCTTCTTGACTCCAACGTTCCTCACTCCCAGACCTCCTGAGTCAGCACCGCCAGGTAGGGCTCGCGGCAAGGGCAGAGGCAAGGGCCGAGGCAAATGCCGCCGCGGCGAGCCCGGGGCCATTGCGCAGATTTTGGTTCCAGCGCCCCCCCTCGCGGGCTACTGAACATCAGAATTTGGTTCCCGGAGCCGCAGCCCCTGGGCGGGAGCAACCACCCGCAGGGAGGCGCATAGCCTTCGTCAGCGCAGGCACCCTCGCCAACGAGCGCGAGGAGCTCTGCCAGACCCCAGGCCCGAGATCTCCTCCGCCTCGCCTTCCCGCGTGCGCGAGCGAGGGCGAGGGGGTCGGGTGGCGGGCCGCGGGGGCGACGAGCGAACCCGAGCCCGATGAGGAAGACCCACTCGGTCTGGGTCGCGAGTTGGGGTAGTATGCGCCACAATTTTTTCTTTTCCGCCGTGGAGGGGGTAAATCAGGTCCCCTGTAAGTTTTTGCGCCCCTATGCGCGATCACCACGAGAGGGTCGTCCAGCCAGCGTCTCCGCAGTCAACACGGGCGCCGCCTGGCCCCCTGCCTGCTGCGTGCGGGCACCAGGGGTGCCAGTTGGGCCTGCACCCTTTCTTGCACGTGCTCGCTAGATAGTAAAGGTGTATTCTCAGACACCTGCAAGGTTCAGATGTACCTCAGCGCCACGACGCACATTTTTTTGCTAACTTTTTCTGAGTGTAGGGTGTGGCATTCAGGATTGTTGAACCCAAGGCAGCGATCAATCGATCCTCCTCCTCCTCCTCCTCCTCCTCCCCTCCCCCCCTCCTTCTTCTCCTCCTCCTCCACCTTCTCCTCCTCCTCCTCCTCCTCCTCCTCCTCCTCCTCCTCCCCCCTCCTTTTCCTCCTCCTCCACCTCCTCCTCCTCCTCCGCCAAGGGTTCATTTGTATCTGCCGCTCTCGCTGGTCCCCCAGACTTTTCCCCTGAGTCCTTTCTGGTCCTGCACCCGCCCTTACACTGTCGCCTGCTCGCCGCTGTCTCGGCCGCTCCGCCTCCTTTCGCGCGCCCTCTCCTGCAGCCGGACCATTTGTGAGCCGCGTGTCCCCGACCATTCGAGCGCCTGTGCGGACTGCCTCTCCCATGCTTCGACGTAGAACGAGTTCGTCTCGTTGTCGTCGTCGCTTGCCTTCTCCTACCCGGCTGCTGCTCCGCCTCGTGGTGCTCTCCCCTCGGTCTTCTTCCCTCCGCGCGCCTTGGCTAAAGTCGGGCACGTCCCTCTACAGAAGGAATATTCAAAAATAGTAGAACAATAGTCGGGGGACGATTTTGTGAGCTTTTAAGCATTTTTTTTTGTTTTTAAAATATTTGTTGTTTCGTCCGAAATTCCCTTGTAGGAGGACACGCCCGACCTAAGCCTTGGCCCTCTCTCTGCCCTGGTCCTGGGGCCCTTCCCTCCTGCCACTCGAGCCTTGCATTCTTTGGTGCAGCAGCGCTCCAGGGCTCAGTGCCTGTATTTTTGCTTGCGTTCGCGTCGCTCGTTCGTCCGTCAAACGTGCGGCCGTCCCTCTAATTACAC